CGAGGGCCTCCATGGTGAAGCATGCGGCGAGGAAAAGCCAGGCATTTATTCCGCGATCAATGGGCGGGAGTTGTTGTGTGCCATCGTTGATATTTGACAGGCGAGTAGCGTTAGTCGTCCGCTCTGGCGGAGTGTACAGTCCCTTTTCGGTCTCGTTTGTCGAGGAGTGTGAGCCTATTACTTCCTCCATTGTCAGAGTCAGAGCCGGCGATATCAAGGGCAAGGGGAAAAATAGGAAAGAGAAAGATAGCCCAAGGAAGAAGATGAAAAATAGAAATTTTAGTAATAAGCGTTCATTAGATTCAATCCATTGACCGACTAAAATGACAAAGAAGTCATCCATAGGGCGTGGAAAGGATCAATTAATACGTAATCATCCATCGCGTCGTCATTGATTGGGCCGGCATTGAATCTTAGGTGATAGGGGGTTGCCAATCGGATAGGATTGGTGGATATATGGAGTAAGACTACTAGGGTGGAGCATCCTGGTGATTATGCGAGCGGCACATCTTTCACAATCTCTTATCTGAATGGGCTATCACTTCAATGTAGGCACGTGGAAGTTGGTTTACATTCCTTGGTCGCTTACCTGCCCTGCCCTAGTTATTTACTCCGCATTTTGGGAAGCCGGAGAGCCAGACCGCTTCCTGTTGGTCTTTTCGCTGCTATTTTTCCATCTACTGTATCGACCCATCGATTTTGCGTCACCTCACCACCGCCCCCTTGTGTAGAACAGTGTTTGGCCCGGAGATTCACATCATAACCAATGCGCCAGGAACGTCGTCGTCGTAATCAGGATCTAATCTAGATCGAGATGTGACTACCGGTATGTACAGTAACAGTAGTAATAATATGGTAACTGAGCTCTCTTTTGTATGAAATGAGGCAAGTAAATTTCTTAATGGTGGTAAAGACAGGTTATCACACTAAAATAATACAGAGCCCAACACGAAGGGGACATGCCAGATTCGTTTTCTAAGCACTAATGACCTAGCCGAGCCAGCCGCGTACCATCTGGTCAAAGTCTGGGCTATACAGCCACTCGAGATCAAATTCTTCGTTCTCCAGATCCGACTGTCCTGCGCCCTGATCTTTTGGCATTCTGCGAGCATCAACTTGCTTATTGAGAGCTAGGACACGATCAATCCGCTCCTGTCGACCTTTCTGCCAAAGCTTCAACCCGCGCTCCAGATCTTCCTGCCGACACTGAGACAATATGAGTGCATATGTATAGACATCTTCGAATGCCTGGTTGATGCCCTGACCCGCCGTTGGTGGAATGGCATGCGCCGCATCTCCCAGAATCACCACGCGTGAGTGTTTGGAGGCCCAGCGGTCCAGCTTGGGAACCACATAGAACGGCCACAGGTTGATCTTATTGAGCGGAATATTCGAGACGGCAGACTTCACAATTGGAGGATAATCCTCTACTCCATCGCGCAGGAAATCAACGCACCACTGCTTGTCGCTCAACAACTTGTTCCAGCCCTCGCGGTCCAGATCCGGTGCTTGCTTCTGTCGTCCGATCAGACACTCCGATCCATCTGCCAGTTGTTGCGCAATAACGAATGCTCCATGAGTGGGATTCATGATCGTCACGGGCATCCCATACCCTTCTGGGAAAACAATCTGGCTGGTCGGCACAGCAGCCGTGACAGCCATTACATTTGTGAATCGCGGCTCCAGATCCGGGTACAGGTACTTGCGCACGCGAGAGTGGATTCCATCCGCACCGACAAGGCACGCTGCACGACCGGAGGTCCCATCGTCGAATTCCCATTCAACCGCGGTGTCGGTCTCAGAAACAACCCGCGTGAATTTCTTGCCATACTGAATCGGAATTCCTCGCTCTTTGATTGCTTCTACGAGCGTGTCGATGAGAGCATAGCGATAGATGCGCATCCCACGATACCCGTATTTCTCGAGGTTTCCAAATTCGTACGAGTCCTTTGGTTCGTCTTCCGCGGACCGGAAATACAGATTATGGAACTCGAAGCCGTGGACGCGGATGCGGTCGTAGATGCCCAATGCATCGAGGATGCGAAGTGCGTTGGGCGATAGCATGATTGCGCCGCCGATGTCCAGAGACGCAGAGCGCGCTTCATACATGATACATGGGATGGATTGCTTGTGCAGAGATAATGCGAGTGCAAGGCCCGAGAGGCCTGCGCCAATGATAGCGACATTGGCTGGTGCTGTCATTGTTGGATTGGTGTGTAGATTGATAGATCAAGACTTGTCAAGGGATCGAACTGAAAGTTTCAGATGTATGCGTTTCTGTTGATTTTGACTTGACGGATTCATGAAGCTTTATATAGCTCTGTTATCAGGCGCCCCATGAGATCAACATAAGGCGGACGATAGTAAACTATAGTTAAATAGTTGGTTAGTTAATACGAGGCCGCCAGAATGACTAGTTCGGACCCGGGCACTTCGGATCCGGAGGATCGGACAGGGCTGAGGCTGCGCTTACGTTGGGGGCCATCGCCATCTACTGCCTGTCTGCCTATTCAACCTAGTAGAGATGACCTGGAGCTTTATCGGACTTGCCATACGGGAGATCCACTACGTTCTTCGAAATTCCAACCTTTTCATTGGCGAGGGTCTTCATGACTAGCAATACAAAACCAAAATAATACAAGAACATTGTTAACATAGAGAACATCAAATCAGTACTTGTAAATCTTGTATCAAACCCAGTTAAATCTTTTCTTATGTGTAAAAAATGTGATATATTCTCTAATTCTAGGTAACTATCTATGCTTACAGAATATGCATACAAGACTAGGTACATAGTATGAGACTGATAGCATTGGCTCGTTCATAGATGCAAGCCTTAGAACTGTACAGAGCTTATTGCGTCGTGACTTCAATCAAGAAGATAGTTACTGTTGTCTGTTGGTCCAGTATCCATCTAATGTTTATGCAAGGTTCGGCACCTGTGCACCGCAATAAATTCGGATGTGAGTGGGAAAAGACGTCGTGAGTAGAGAGGCGTTAATTCTGGGGAATATCGATACAACCAAAAGCAAAAAGTCTAACAAGTCAACCCCCGACTGGAGAAATACTCGTCCAACTGTGTTTCCGTCCCGTCTCCCGTAAGGATCCCTGCAATGTAATGGTCTGGTCGCAGCAAGTAAGCAGCATCCTTCTGAAGTCCGACTTTGCCATGCTGTTCATCCCAGTCAAATGCGAACAGTTGAATGTTCCTGCGCTTGCACCACTCCACAATATCAGGCTTCGCGTCTCCATATACGTGGAGCTGCCAGGTGATATCCTGTATGCTGGAGAAGTTATCGCCTTGCTTAGTCTTAGCCCATGGCAGACGATCGCCAGGCTGTATAGCCCTGGAGCAGCCTGCTGGTTGGCTTAGGGAGCTTCCACGGTAGGAGAGAATGAGCTGAGATCCGGTACGGAACATCTCCTTTCCCGCAGATGGGAAATATGGAATCAGAGGTGCGACTAAAGGCAGGACCCAGCGGCGCAAGATATAGGGAATCCAGCCGTTTGATGAAACCACGGTAAATCCGCGGTCTGTTGATTCAACCAGCTTCAATGCGAAGGCGCGGCGTTCAGGTTCGTAGGAACCTAGGAGCTGGTCTTTGGCTTCTTCTGTCATCGAGCTTGGCTTGAGCACGGTGGCCAGTTTCCAGGCCAGGTTTATCGCATCCATTATACCCGTGTTCATACCTTGGCCGCCAACGGGGCTGTGAATGTGGGCAGCATCACCGATGATGAATGCCCGGTTGGCTCGGAATTTATCGGCCACCCGATGGTGGCTACGATATGTTGAAAACCAGTTGACCTTGATGGTGTCCACATTCAGCACTTGTTTGATCTGTGGCAGAACATCATCGACCGTCACTTGCTGTTGCTGGTCACTGTGCTCATCGAGGGACCCATCTTTGGAGAGAGTAATGCCGACTAGTCGCACATGTCGTTCCTGGGAGTAAGGCAGAATCAGAACAAACTGGTCGCCCGTGAAGGTAAGATGCGCCTCTCCGTTGAAGAAAGGGCCATCTTCGCCGTCGATGTCGGCTATGTAGAAGAGCGGCTCGTAGGTGTCTCCTTCGTATTTGGCATGGATGCCATGGCGAACAGCTGAATGTGCCCCGTCACACCCAACGATATACGCAGCATCCCACGTAGTCTTTCTGCCGTCCGTCTCACTGAGAAGATTTGCTGTGATGCTAGCTCCATGGTCGACGAAGTCTAGCAATCGAGTGTGTCGTTCAACAAAGATGCCCAGTGAATTCAGTCGTTTTTCAAGAAGCCGTTCATGGTCATCTTGCGGCAAGATAGTCAGAAAAGGATACGGCGTCAAGTCGCGAGCAAATTCCGATAGAGGAATGTGTGTTCGGTGATGGCCATCTACCCAAAGGTTGGTTGCGGACAGTTTGTGGCCGTGTTGCAGTATTTCGTCAGTCAAATCCAGCTGGCGGTATAACTCCAGAATGCGCGAATGGATGACCAGAGCGCGAGATTTTTTGGCGGGCGCTTCTGCTTGATCGACAATGTGAAAATTAATGCCTTGTTTGTGAAGCCATAGAGCTAGGACGAGGCCAGTGGGGCCTGCGCCAACAATCAAAACGTCGGTTTGAGGCATGTCTTGGGGCTGAACGACGGTCGGGGAGCCCCCTCCGAGGCAGCGAAAGAAAGGGGTTTAAATATCCAAGAGTATATTTTTCCGGCTGACAATCATAGCCCATTTTGGTTCTCATGATCGTATGCGAAATCTAAGTCGGGTGCCTTAGGAGTGACTCTTCGTGTTCGGGTGTTCATAGTCACCGGTCCGAGCGAGAAAAAGTCGGCGAGTCGCCCGCCGTTGACTCCAAGTCCTTCCACAGAGCCGACCAACATTGATGGACATTGTTACAGCTGCGAAACAATGATTAATTATTCCACGACCGTCGTGGAACAATCACTCGAAATGAAATTGTCCGAGTTTTCCGGAAAGCCGTCGACGGGTATACGGAATGTACAGAAGGGCATCATGGGGATCATCCTAAGTCTGACATGAACGGTGCATCCATCATGGATTCGTTGAACTGGTTGAGGAGACTGTCCCAATCATTCCAATCCTCCGGACTATTACCCAGGAAAAAGCCAAAATCGTCGGCTTCAAGCCCGGTAGATGAAGCAGCGAAGTTAGGGTCAGGTTGGCCTGAGAATGCAGCGTCTTGTTCAATAACCACAGGACCACTTTGCACGGCATTTGGTTCCGAGCGATCCTCGGCAGAAGCTAGGAACTCCGCGACTATGGTGGGACAGGATGTAGGAGTACGACGGTGGGAGTTACACTCCTCAATGTAAGCCCGCCAAGCCTTGACCATCAGGTTCTGGATGGCCAGGTGAAGCGGCGTTTGTGACTTCTTGCGCAAGTTCCGACGGAGCCGAGTATATATGTTGGCAATGAGTTGCCACGCCTTGCTTTTCTCCTCTGGAGACCTGCGATGCCGCATTTCCGACAGCATGATGATGATGGCATCCCATGGAACATGATTCTCCATATGCCAATGAAATCCTTGGATAGATGGGTTAGTTTGGGATTGATCGCAGTACTCTGCCATCTTTAAACAATTTTCGAACACAATATCCTTTTCGGATTCCGGCATGGAATTGCTGCCGTCCTGGTATTGTCGAGGATGATGTGCCATCAATCTCGTGAAAGCGCTGGCCGACCGCATCATCAGCGTAGCGAGCAAATGAAGAGGAATGGACCGATCGCAATGCCGTAGAATTGACTTCTCTATAATCCCGTCTAGCTCATCGATGATTCGGTCTTTTTCTTCTATCGACTTGGACGAAGAAGATAGGATCCCCCAGGACCAATCATTCTCAGTGTCTTTGGCGTAGCGGCGAACCCATTTGCCAAATTGACACCGAGCTTTGCAGAAAATCATCTCGGTTGGACCGTCCTTATCTGAAGGGGGCTCCGTCATACGCGGGTCAAGATCGCTGTCGTTTGCATTCGCTGGAGGCTGGACATCCGCTGACGATAGAAATGGAGACGGAGAAACACCGCTGAACTGCGCCGATGTGGAGTCTAGAATGATTAATTGAAGCCAGATTCGCCGGCGCATCTCTGTTTCAAAGATTGACAGCCCAAACCGAGAGCCGTCTCGGTGAAGGCCAATTCGCTGGGCAATGCGCAGCGCGATACCACACAGAGTCCAAACGGTATGCCGATCTGACAATGCGCGCTTCATGAGCTATCGAACATTTGTTAGACGAAGGTGTACTGGATGGCAGGCTGACAAACCAGGTAGAATATGAAGGCTTGTAGAACCACAACGCTCGAAGTACGGAGAAATGAGGCATTTCTAAGCGCAAGCTGAGCTCCTCGGCGGTACTTCGAGAGAAGAGACGCTTTACTCTCTCCGAATGATTTTTCAACATCTCCTGCTGGCAAGGAAACTAAGGAAATGCAGTAAATCGAGAACATCAGGGCCTCTAGATCTTTCCCTACACGAGATAAGTCGCTCATGGCCTCCAAGATCTGCTGCTGCACGGTTGGAGTATGTATGATCTTGGTCAGCGGGTTGACATTCTCGAGAAACGTTTGCCAGAGCTTGAAAATATGCAATGGCTGAGGGTGCAATTCCGTGAGACATTCTCGAGATGCAGGACTCAAAATCATCATTGTGTCATCGGCAGCACCTGGGGTAAAGGTGTCGGTGTCACTTTCTGATGCATTATCCAGTACATCGGCTGCATCTGGGAGCTGGACGGAATGTTACAAATGTGGCCCATTCAAAGCGCATTGAGCTTGCATACCTCATGGCTAACGCTAGTCCAAAGATTACTGTCATTAATTAGATAAGGCCCGTATGAAGGGAGTCGATACAACCAACCTATCAAGATAGACCGAATTGCCCTCTCTGGTGATCATTCTTCCCGGTCCATTTCCGTCCATGACAGCCGATGAAGCTGCCTTTCTAGTAGGCCTAGGCTGGGCGGTTGGCAAAATACCGCCAGCATCTTGCTGTGCACTGCGCGTCTCACTGTCCCGTCGCCGTGACTTGTTGCGATGCCCATGAGGGACACTTTCGTTACCACGTCCCCTTTTACGGCGACGTGGAGGAGGCGGAGGGCGATAGACGCACTCAGCCCTTGACTTCGCGCAGTTGGAACATGGATCTTGTCGATCACATTTGACCTTTCTCTGGTAACAAATCACGCAGGAGTACGACTTGGATGAAGCTGCCGGGGAATCTATTGTTGTTTGGCCAGCAGGTCCTTGGGTTGCCATGGCTGTAGAAGAAGACAAAAAAAGCGATGAAAAGGGAGGCAGCTCAAATGATTAATACATTATATAGCATGGCAATTCAAGAAAGATGCGTAAACATGCCGGAGCGAGATGTTGGCACGAAGGCGGCGACCGGGGGGATTTGTTGGTGCCTTATTTATTAGGTGTCATTTTGCCGTCTTCTCCAGGCTGCAACCTCTGGGATCCACCGTAGCCTCAGCATAAAAGACCCTACGTGTCCTGTCATTCTTCCTTTCTCACTTTTTCCATCCTGGCTACTGTGTTTCTAGGTGGCGTTGTTCTAGTTACAAGGCAACACAATGTATAGATGGTTGCAATGGTATAATAGATATGCTATGTGGTCTATCATTCAGTCACGTTTTTCTAATTCTTTTGCTCCCTTGAATTGATCCAACCCAGAAACCCTCTGGTCCACAAGTACAGTCACTCGCCAGCGATCCTGTGTTCCCTTTCTCTTCTGGCAACACCTCGACACTGCTAGTACCTTCTTCCCAACGAACTCAGCCGGATCTACTGCAAATGAAAGCCACGTATTTGCATAAACACCATTATCCTCGTCAGTCTCAATAATATTGATCTGTAACACCTCAGGGTTGGTATCATCGGCGTCGACAAGATGATCAAACGTTACACCTAGTCAATCAATCTAGTCAGATGAACGAGTGGGAAGTAATTAGCCATGGGGGTACTAGAACTAGATGCTTCATCCCGTAGAAAATGATGTAGACCTATTCTCCAGACGCTTTTCTGGCATTCAGCCTAAGTACTCATCTCGTACTAGCAAAACATCTGGGACTTCCGGACAAATATTCCTTCCATATGCGGTCTGATACGTCAATCGTGCAAGCTCCGGGGCGACCGGCTGTGGGAATTTTCGGTTCAGAAGATCCAGATGCCACGGGGTATGTGGCAGCAGACTTCGTATGGCGATCAGGGACCTTCAATTTGGATTCTGAGCGGCTGGTCAGGCGATGGGAGATGATACCGGCCGGCAGGAGTATGAACGCAATGTGGGATATAAAGTGGGAGCGCCATTAGAGGTGAAGACACGGTTGAATGAGAGGCCACAGTGACGAAATCTAATCCAATGTATGAAGAGAGGATGCTCGATCAAGCTTGAAAAGCTTTTCTCATAAGTCCAAGAAAGAGAATTAGAATGTCCCAAGACATGTGAGACATATACAACTCTTCATTAACAGGTGCCTAGAGGTGGGGTCCAAATGGGCAGCGTGCTTTTAGCGAATTCCTGGGTACTCCTAAGTACATGCCCGCAACCTCTTTCTCTTCTCTCCCTCAAACTGATTCACTTTCGCACAGTCTATGCAACCCAATAATGCTTGTGCCAGATGGTTACGGTTATTTTCGGTCAATTGTTCTCGAAAAGGCTAGGCGCCTTTCCCCTTTTGTTCGGCGCTCGGAATTTCGGCTGCGAGTAATCCGGAGTCCGGCGATGCGCTCTTCTTTCGACTTCACAACATTCACGGACTCCAGCTCATCTGGATTGCAATGAATAGGTCTCGTATTCATCACTATTAATCATTCTCTTTGGGAAAACCTTATTGTGTGGAAAGTGCCACGGAAATCATGTCTGCAGTAAGTGGCATCCCCCAGACGGGATACGTTATACCGCAGTTCAGGTTGCTCGGTCGCAAAACAACTCAAACACTATACTTGAAGATCTGGTTTCACTAATAAATCTCTATAGTGTGACTTGTGCCACACCAGAAAGGTCAGAGCAGTTGTCCCAAGCCCGAACGACTGTCTGTGCTAAATCAGTGCCATGTAGGTGAAATGCGATCGCCAAGATCCTTGCATGAACTGCGTAGATGCAGGTGTGGAATGCCATCGTACTCGTGAAACGCGTATTCATCGGCCACGTGTCTCCCGGTATGCGTGGCCATATTCCGCGGAAGAAAGACATGGATAAGCTAAAATGACCACAGTCTTGATGCATTGGCAGCCCGCCTGGCTAAACTCGAAGAATCAAACTCAGCAGAAACATCGGTCAAAGTTTCATCAGCTGCTGCACATAGCCATGTAGCATCGCCGCAGGCTAAACATCACAGTCCTCATGGGTCATTTTCGAGCCAGTATACCGACCCGGCTTACGAGAAAAAGAGAAAGCAATATGCCGCACACGGCGAGAGTATTATACTCTCTCCGCCAGAGATTAAGCGTAATAAAACACAAGGTGCAGTTCGACAAAAAGTTCATGAGGATTCTCCGGACTCGACGCGCCATGCCAGCGAGGCTAGGGAGTTTATCGAGCATGAGCTCCAATGCAACCCGGAGCTTTCGACAGATCGACGTACTGCGCTTGAGTTGGCACGCAAGTTTGTTAGTCAATTAACTAATCCTGCACTACATTGGGAGTCTGGGGAGTCTCGGGCTGCAGACCATATAGCTGAAGAGAGTCTGCAACCTCCTACTCTTACGCCAGAGTTGCTATACATGCTACTCCCAGGTATTCATTGGAACTTTGATTTTTATGCAATGTATTCTAACACAAACACAGGCCCTGATAACAAAACCAATTCCCAAGGGACCCTCTCCTGGCCAGATCATATCTCTGACAAGGCCCTAGAACGAATGGGACTGGCCATAATCGAGGGTAGTGAGTGTGAACAAGTGCTCCAATACTACCGGATAAGCGTACGGGTGAAAGCTATTGCCAGTATATCAAAATTGGCACCATTGATCTCGAGTGAACGTCTCAAGGTCCATTTCCGCACATTGAAAAAGCAGTATGAGGTGGCTGCTCAAGAAGAATTGAACCAACTCCCTTTGGCGGCAGCGCCTAGCCTTGGCTTACTCCAGTCGCTGCTATCCGGGGTAAGGTTTTTGGAAATTTTCATATTAGCACTCTGGCTTACACACACGTCACAGTCACGTTTGATGCAATATCAAGGAAACATGTCCCGTTGTTGGATGTTCACAGCACTTGCCTCGCGAATCATTGTCTCGCTCGGATACCACAACATCACGGATACAGAGCCCAGGAACGAGGTGGAAGGAGACATTCATGCCTGTGTGTATACTTGTTATTACTTCGACAAGACGCTCAGCTTGCTGCTCCTCCGGCCGCCGTCTCTACCAGACCTAAAAGTGGAGCCAGCTCAGTTAATCCACGTTGATCCCGACCTACCAACATCGGCCATGATCGTTGGCATTGTCGAATACTCACACCTGAAGCATACCCTTCTGGATGTCCTACTGGATACCAAGGTAATGCGGGACGTGGAGAAGGCCAACATCTTGTCCAATCTCGTGGAGCGAGCACACTCAATTCATTCGAACTTGCAGACGGTAGGTGCTGAGAGATAACCAACGGATAAAGTAGCTGACAATGCGCAGTTTCGACGTCGTCAAGAACTAGAGTTTCCAGGAGAATCATGGAATTTCCTGCGACGGGAATGGCTCTCCATGGATTTCAACTACTATTCCGTCCTGACAACCATCATCCGCGTACGCTCCTCTGTGCTGAAATCCCGCTTGATCTGCGAAGACTGTCTCTATGCAGCCCGGGAATCTCTTACTACCCTCCGGGCCTTGCAGGAGACATTCTCAGGGCATATTACATCCGTTGATTCGTATCCATACTTCCTCACTTGGTATGACATTTCATCCACACCTCTCAGAGAAATCATAATCAACAAATCTTCTAGGACAATGCTGCTCTTCCCACTAGCCCCCTTCTTCGTCCTATTCTGCAACGTCGTCGCGACATCAGACCAGCGAGATTTCAACATGATCAAGAATATCACTGACGATCTGCACCAATTCGTCGGGGCAAACCCATCCATCGATAAACTGTATCGGCTCTTCTCCAAATTTCTGGACTTGTGTGCACCATTGATACAGCTGAAACCTGCACTACCACGGCCCGAGAGACCATCGCCTGCTGTCTCTGCTGCGACCACACTTGACAACATAATAAGGACAGATGGGGTTCAGATGGAGCGTGGTGTTGATTTTCTTGGTCCTGCCGCTACCACCACCACTAACCAGGCTTGGACAACCCCTCCGGGGTGGGATGATAGTCTGGTGTGGGAGTTGTTTGATAACCAGCCTTCGTTGGGATGGGCAGAGTCGGATCTGTGGGATGTCATGGCACAGTTGCCTGCGTAAAGTAGGCCTCTGTTTAGGATGTGGAGTATATTGTAGTTGTATGGTTGCTTCTTGAAAGGACACACAGTCCTGAAGTGGGTATATCAGATATATCCCAGAGTCTAGCTAAAAGGTCTCAAGAAAAAAAAATATGGAATGCTCAATGAGTGTGAGAGACATGCAAGGTAGGCAGCATCTGTCAGAGGGCACAGGCGGGCCTAGCTATTATAATACAGTACAGGAATAGAAAAGGGTAGTCCAAGAACGGAAAGAATGTGTCTATCACGAAATCAACACCCAGAGAAGGAAGAAAATCTGCCGAAACAGTTAGTTCACTTGTTCGAGAATAGACCCAGGGACAGACGTACCATAAGAATCCCAAACATCTTGGCAATCAACCACCGATTCCCGGACACGCGAGTCCAGTACTTCATCAGTTCTCGTTGCGCACCTTGTACATTATCCACCACATCTTCTGTGTTGGCGTCAATGCGCTGGATCATTTCTGACTGCTCGCTGACCATCTGTGCCAGCTGTCCGAAGATGCCTCCCAGTTCGCTGATTGTCCGTTCAATGGCTTCGATAGCCTCGCCACGGGCCTGGATGTATGTATTGCTCGACTGTGCCTCTTCCATAACCAGCAACTGCTGATCTGACTGCATCGATGGCCGGCCGAGTGGGGAAGGATTTGAAGGATCGAGCGTCAAGAGGTCGGAGGAGTTGCCTTGGTATCCCGGCTGGGGCGTCCGCCGCCCTGAGGTGTTGTACAGGGGAGAATCTGAGCGTTGCGTGTCTAGCGCGGTTTGCGACTTGGAAGATACGGATGACACAAAGTTCTCCGTTCTTGTGCGCGATGCTTGGATGTTCTTCGTCCGGACCTCGAGAACCTCCTTGAAGCTGGCTCCGACATCTGCCAGCTTCCCTTGCAGCATGACAACAACGTTGTCATTATGTTCGCCTTCCTGATCTGTCTTGGACCGACTCGATTTCGGATGTTGTGACAAGGTCAGTGCCTGAAGGGATGCGATCTGGGAGTTTAGCGAGGCGAGATCTTGCTTGATCACGTATGTCAATTCGGAGATCTCAACGGGTCGGTCGTCAAAAAGGGTTTTGCGCTTGGCCACTAATCCTCAATGTTAGATCAATGCGACTATTTCTGCCCTGCTGAGAACACTCACATTCAGCCAACCGCTGCAGCTTCGCTGTGGTGGATGTGATCCCCCGTCCAATGTCTGCCGCCTTGCGCGCGAACTCAGACCGTGCTCGCTTTTCATTCTGTGGCCCAGTAGGCGATCCGTTGGCCTGGCGTCGTTGGGCATCTGTCAATAATGCCTGGCGCTGCGAGCCGACTTTCGAAGTGCCCAGACGCCTTTGGGCATGGCCCAAGATGGCGCTGAACTCGGTCGTGCGATCTTGAATGGACGGGCCGGTCATTTTGCGATGAGTGGGGAGGGGGTGAGTACGATCTTCAAAGGTGTAGGATCAACAAGGAAGAGAGGATGCCGCACTCGGCGAGTGTTTGGGCTGGAGTGATCGGACTATCCCTAATCGATAAGGGGGAAGAGAGGTGGCCGGTTGCAGCAAGTGGTGGCGGAGGATTCCCGGGGATGTGGAAGGGAACGAGGAATGGGCACGGGTCGAGTCTCTCACTTTGGGTCTCGAGGGAAACACGCTGGCCTAGTCAAGACAAGCCTCGGTCTTTCACAACAGAAGGCCAAGTTCGCCCTCAGCCACTCGATGCAAGACACCACGTGACCGCGGGTTTGCCCCTTACCTAAGCCCTCCGTCTGCGCTGCGGCCGTTTCACATCTAAATTTATCTACTCGGTCAGGGGGAAGAATTGATGATGACGATGGAATAGCTTCATGATTTCCTCGCCTTGACCACCAGCACTATATTTTCACTCTACTATTAAATTGGGAAGAATTGCCCCTTCCCCACGTCATCGCCGGCCCTATTCTTGTTTGGCGGCCAAGCCAGCCTACTGTTGATCCGAGCTGATCGGCACCTGCCGTGTTGTTGGTCTGCGTGGCATTGCCACCTTTTGTCTCCCCCCTCTCTCCACGAATACGACTCTTCGCTCCTTCCTCTCCCCATCCCGGTCCAGAATCTGTCTGGGGGCGAGGCAGTGGGACTTGCGATCTACAACTCCCTAAGTTAGGCGGCAACTGATGCTGGGAATCGAGCTTGCCTGCACTTGACTCCTCCACCTCCCTGATGGCGGACCCTACATCCAGGTCGCACGGCCGAGGGGCCCCAAAGATGTGAGCGAGACCTATCGGTTTCCTTGACGCTTTGGTCGCACAAGTACTAAGACATCTTCTAGGCCGGTTCCACCCAATGCAGGTGGTAGAACGCCCGTCTCATTCCAACCGAACGTCAACCGTGCGAAAACAAAGCGTTGGGTCGAAGCGAAGCAATACTCCTACGATGGCACGGACTGGGGTGACGAGGAAGACGAATATCAGGACGAGGAGCCTCCCCCAGTACCGCAGCCGTCCTACACACAACAGAGAACCGGCAGCGCATCGGACTTGAGTTCCAAGCGTTTGTCGGGCCTCGCGCTCGGTGCAGATGGATCGCAAGGCAGCCCGGCGGCGGAGGATCAAAAGGCCCTGCCTTTCATCAGGCCTGCAGACATCTATAAACGTATGCGTGAACAGCAGGGAACACCGCCTCCTGCAGCAGACTCGGGGTCTCAAAATGATAACTTGCAAAGCTCGGTGCAGCCGGAAACAGCTCCAGCACAGGCTAGCGATAGTCAGATATCCCAGGGTTCAACTGTTTCCTCGCAGACACAAGCCGTTCCCTCCATCGGACTTCCCGAACTCAAGAGAGTCTCCGGCTTTGGTACCGATTTCATGAACAGCGGTTTCCAGAAGACCAACCCCGAGCCTACGGAGCCATCTCTGCAGCACCAACAGTCCCAGGGCTTCCGGTCCGTGGTTCATCAGGCTTTCGATGTACCAGAAACACCGAGCTCCACAACAGGCAGTGTGGGACGGTCCAATAGCGATGGTACGTCTGTGGTCAGCCCCATCATGGGCGCTCGCGGTATCAATGATGATAAAACACCCACCATCCCCGAAGAGCCCGAGGTGGCTTCTCCCTCGGCCATGGCTTCCCCCGAACCTGTGAACGAAGGCCCTGTTTTCAAACCGGGTCACCGCCGCGACCTGAGTCTTCCTAGCCGTGATAATAGCCCTGCCAGGAGGCCTGTGATCACCGAACACGATTCTCCCTCGGCAGGCCAAGTGGAGATGTCTTCGCCTGAGAGCCCTTCGCAGGCAAGCACACCAAAGCAGTCACTTATTGCGGAGACATATTTCAAGAGGGCATCCATGCAAGGACCCTCGAGTACGACTGAGAACGACTTCATTGCGCCGCTTAACCTGGGCAATAGCCGGCCGACAAGTACCGACACCCGTCAGGGCAGTATTCCAATCATCGTGCCTGAAGGTGCAGACGACTCGCCACGGGATGTCGACAATGATCGGCTGAGCAAAGATATAATTCGCTCATTAAGCAGGGAAAATAGTCCTTTGGACGGCGGGGAGCAGGAGGCTCAGCAATCACAGTCCCAGGCACCCGACGACTCCATTCCACACCAGTATGAAAAGTACTGGGATGATGGTCAAACTGGGCCCAATGATTCACAACCCAATCCCTTGGTCTCAGAAACGCACCCGGATTGGACTGGCCCGCATCCTTTGGCACCTCAGGATCCTTACTCCAGCAGCCAGGTTGGCGGTGGAGATGCGCCATCGGAACAGCCGAAGAAGCCTAAACTTGAAAGAAAGTTTTCCTGGGAATCGTCATCGTCGGGCAATGAGGATAAGCCTCAAATTCCAGGGAGCTACTCCTCCCCGCCTCCTCTAGGTGCATCGCTGGCCGTCCAAGAGCCCGAGCCTCTGTCTTATGACGCAGCTCCTGGAGCAGAAGAACCAGATGCAGCGCAAATGGCTGCTGCGGGTATAGATGCCGATAGCGAGCGCAGCGTCGAACGGCCCGTACTTTCGATCGTTCCTCCAAAGCCGGAAAGTGGTTCACCGCCCGAGCAGCTCTTGAACACGGAGGTTTTACCAGAGCCCGTCGGTGAAATGGGTGAAGCGACGGTACCTCCGGCCACCAATAACTTGATTAACGAAGCAAGTCTGCTGGGTTTCCGCGACATCCTTGGAATCAAGTCGGCCGATGCACGGATCCGGGCGTTTGACCATACAAGAGACCAATTTGCTGCCCTTGATACCGGCCTGCAGCATTGGGTTGAGTCCACCGTCCACGACCACCCGGAATATGCCGATCTGCAAAGCCAGGGCCCGTCTTCTGGGGCTGACAGGACATCGCCCACGCAAAGCCGTTTCCCAAAATTGACCTCGTTTGGCAACCTTGCTTCCACGCTTAATACCAACTCTCCAACCAGTGCCACCCATAATCGACGGCCTTCGGCTCATCTCGGAACCGTCAGGAACAGGCCGAATGTCGAACTCCGCGGCAAGGAACTCCTTCACACAGCAGGTGCATTCAGTGGCAAGGCGGGCGAGGCTGCGAAGGGACTGTTCGCCAAAGGCAGGAATAAGTTCCGTCCTAGCGACAAGGTAGATACATAATCTCTTACATTCTATCATGTTGAGAACCGGTTCCGTGCTATCCTTGTTTTTTTCGCTTTCATTCTTTTTTTCACTCTTTCTCTCTTTTTGGATACCACCATGTAATTTTGTGAACCGCCTGGCCTTTGATTCTAGAATGCGACACGATTGATGTCTCCGACCTTTTCCCCTCCTCTTCCCTCCTTTCATGTTGGCTTCTGTTCTGATGTTGGTAATTTGTAGGTTCAAACGCAAACGCCGACTGCGACACGCAGGAGCTTGCAATTCCCCTTCTCTCCCGGAGCCAATGGCTCCAATGTTAACTTCTCCTTCCGAAGCTCCACCACTTTGGGCAATCTCTTCAAGAGCTCTCGGAATGAGGAGAGTGTATCCAACACTACCAATGAGTCCGTCAACTCGCCTATTGGAACAAATCCTGGTCTCCGCGCCAAGTCAATGGATCTCTCGCGATTGCAAAGCAATACCGATAACGATGGTTCCGCCCAAAAGCGAGCTCGCTTATCTCTTGACCAAACTCAACGTGCAAGTAAAGCCACAAGCGGGTCGGACTACGTTGGTGCTCTGGAGAGGGAAATGGTTGCTGCTCTTGGGCTATCGCCAACGGATCCAGACCCTACATCATGGGAAAGAAATGTCCCATGTTCACGAGGCGCACAGGCACAGACCGAAGAGGATACGGCCAAGTCAACGGGAAAGAACCTGCCGGGGATTGCTGGGCAACAACTCCATCAAAAGAGACCAGAGGCTGCATCGATTCGTCCGGTGTCCGACGAGGTTGGCCCAACTCCTCCGCCAAAGGACGTACCTCCTCTCCCACCGAAAGACAAACCCAGCACTCCGCCAAAGGTCTATCCCTTCATGCCAAACTCAAGATATGCAGCGGCGAGTCCGTCGTCGGACTCTTCGGAGGCTGAGGACAAACCCTCGCTCCCAGCGAAGGACCAACCTCCTCCTCTAAAAGATCAGCCTATTCCTCCGCCCAAGGATTATATGACGGTCCCGCAACCGATGAATAATGCACGAAGCCATCCGTCAATATCTTCAATTGGCACTGAGGAGCAAAGCACGAATCGACCGCCGGAGAGTTCCGAGCTCTACGACAGTCCTCCTTCGCCTCTACAAGAAACAGCCGATCCGGCATATGGCAAACCTGCTCCCCAAGCCGGCGTCTCAAAAACTTCCTTGCCGTCTGCTGAGGAGGTGATATCAGACTTTAAACCTGTTTACCCGCCCGCACCACCACCGGCCGCTTCCGAGGTCTTGGAATACAAACGACAGTCAATCAGTGGCGCCCTGGAGACCGCTCCTGGAGTGCAAAGCCCGCTGCGGAACGAAGTCAGATATTCCCCCGGAACAAGGAGCAGTATGTTGAGCTTTGGTAGGCAGAGCGGCACCAGCAAAGGGACTCGTCCTCCCACGCCTGCCAAAGACATCTCGCAAGCTGCGGTGGTGGATTCGCCGGGTCAAAATGAGGAATCTACCGTGGATAAGTTGAAGAAGTTCGGGAAACGACGTCGAGCGTCCGTGGGAGATATGCTTTCTAGTCTGCAGGGAGGCCAGAAGCGGACGTTGGGCAGAATTAGTGTATTTTTATCCTTCCGCAAGTCTGTACGTACAAAACATGGTCTAACGAGATACAGGGTCTTTTCGGTCGGCAAAATGAGTCTCAGCTGCAAGAAAACGGAACGACTGAGCCAGCAAACACCAACTCCCACCCGACAGAGTTCAAGGTTCTATCAAGGCCACCCCAGGTGAACGGAAATGCGCCGCATACCTCATCCGCTGCGACTTCTGAGCAACCTGTCCCCTCTGTGCACAAACCTCTGCCCTCAGATCCCGCTGTGGAACAACCGCTACCATCCTTGCCGGCCGACACAGAATATCTACGGCAGCCACGCCAACGCGCTAGTATGCCACCTATCTCGTCTTTGAACCCTCTTGCCTCGGGCAGATTTTACTCGCATGCTACTGGCAGCACACCAAACGAGACCTCTGATGTACCTTGGCACACTCGCGCCGAGAGCCAACCCTTCCCAAGCCAACAATATGAGCGAGCATCCACGCCTCCGTATATATCTGAAGACAGCACTGTGCAGGCTCAGCAGCAACCAACAAGTCCTAACAGAATCCCCTCCTCCGATCCCTATTCCACCGCAGGCCACCCGCACCGCGATGACGAGCCGCGGATTGTCAACGTCCCACCTCGAGAACCAGTAGAGCTAGCTCTCACGAAGGACGATTCGAGCGACGAAATCCTCATGTCTCCGACGACATACCCAGGCCAGGAATGGATGCCGACGCATATGTAGCCTTTGTTATTGTTTATTGTTTCCACCGCACATTGATCTGGCACGATACCCTTTTTGTTGTCCGTTTGGATGTCGGATGTGGATATTTTAGTTGTACACTCATTTACGTGGATATAGTATGTGTTTTATGTTTTTATGCTCTACGAGGTACATACAAGAATACGGGGTATGCTGCTCATCGTGAAGTGGTAGAAAGTAGATACATATCAAAGAAAATACAAGCCCATCAATTCACGGAGGTGGCTCTGAGTATCCACTTAAAAGAACTAAGGGCTAAGGGCAGACTCAAATTAACCATGTGGCGGTTAGCAGCCTGCCGCAAAAAGTGCGGTCATTCTACGAGCCTTTACTCTCGTCATAATGAAGTTAGGTAACTAACCACTTGACATCCCATATCCAAGGCAACAATTACCTTGCCATTTCTTCTTTTGGCATTTTATCAACAAGAGGATCATAATGGCAGTAGACAAAGAGGCCTCAGATGGCCTAAGCCTACCTCCGGGAACTCTGGATATCGATACCAGAGCAGGCAGCAACTCTGGAAGGATCGAGAGCAAACGCTGTACACCGCAGAACAAAACAGGGACGATGAGTGAATATGTGGCGTTTACACATGTTGATGAACCCAGCTTTCAACAATCTATGGCAGCAAACTTGACCTCCACTCTTACCTTCCCCAATCACAGCCACTCATCGTCAAGATGGAAAAATTTCGCACATGCCCTTACCCATACCGAGGTGGTCGACGCACTGCGAGACACGTTGAAAGAAATGGGAATTAACGTTAGGCAGAACCTTAAAATCGGCGCTGGGGGTGTTGTCCACCGGCCCAACAAATCCAAGAAGCCTGACCACCAGTTCATTCCGAGGTCCCTTCCACGAGGCCACGTTTCCAAATGGCCATCAATAGTCATCGATGTAGGATAATCGGAAAACGCATCGCAGCTTCGTCAAGACGCAATGTGGTGGATGTATGCCTCGGATAGGGACGTGAAGCTCGTCTTCACCGTCCATATTCCCAAAAACAAGGAGATCGTTACGTATTGCCTCTGGCATCCGAGTGACCGGCCAGCTAGTCTAATCCATTTTATGCAAAGAGTTATTAGTGGAGTGAATAGTCCACCCTTTGAAAAGTGCTCTGAAACCTTCCCTGCATTTGGTACGGCAGTTGATAGCGCCCACCTTACCATAAGATGTTGGAATAGAAAAGATTCTCAAAATTCCCGTCAAGTTGTAGCTGAATCGCTTTCGGAACCGTGCGCTATTTGATTGGGGCTTCTTTCTGAGTTCGAGACTGAGCTGTAGGAATCACAAAGGACCGAAGTCGACATAAAGCACTAGGGCCTTCGAGAATTACATATTTAGATCTCATCTATGTAACCTATTTATGTACAAACTTAGCCAATTTTATGAAGTTCACGTTGATCAGCCCCACCCCAAAAGAAGCCAATCCTCGGTCCGCAATTGTCTTAGTGTGCCCGTGTGCGCCATGTGATGGTAGAAATGCCTAGCAGCGGCTTCATCCACCTCCTCGGTCCGCACATCGAGATAAACTCATGAAAACAAAGCAGCTCTATAAAAATCCAGCGTGCATCTCATGGCAACCAATATGACTCCAACCCTCCTCTCACAATGACCGAGCAAGCACCTACCCAAACAACAACCCCAGCTCTCCGCCGGCGAGTCCTCCAAACAACCCCAATCTACCCCGCAATCACCGAGCCCAAATTACTACATTCCGTCGTGGAAAACGACATCTACCTCCTGGGCGGACAGTTTGCAATTCTATGCCAATTTGCGCACCCATCGCTCGCGAAGGGGACCTTCAACCACTCCGACTTCGCACAGCGCATCCCTATACGGCTCCGAAACACGGCGCGGTTTCTCAATGTCGCTGTGTGCGGCACTCCGGAGGAAAAGAATGCCATCTTCGGCGTGATCCATAGATACCACTCCCGCGTTAAGGGGGATGGGTATGACGCCGATGATCCGGAGCTGCATAAATGGACAGCTGCGACGCTCTTCGTGGGCGTTGTTCTAGTGCACGAGACGTTCTTTGGGAAACTGTCCACTGAGAAAATGGAGGAGTTGTTTAAAGAGTCTGCTGTCTTTGGCACTTCTCTTCGAATGCCACCTGAGATGTGGCCCGCCACGCTGGACGAGTTCTGGCAGTATTGGGACTATAATATTGCCACGTTGGAAGTCACCGACATGGCGCGCAAGATGAGTAGGGATCTTCTGTATCCCCGGAACTTACCCTACCCTATGGCGCTGGTGATTCCGTTTGGCAGACTTTTGACTCTCAATTGGTTGCCTGACCGACTGGCGCGGGAATATGATCTAAGGGCTTCGGTTGCGGAACAAGTGGCGTATCAGGGGATTGTGCTTTGGATGCGGGTTGTGTATCCGTTTGTGCCGAATTATGTGAAGCAGTACCAGCATAGGGTTTATATGGAGGATCTGAGGAAGGCTGTGGAGAAGATTGAGAGGACGGGACATTGGGCTGGAATTTGATATTAACACTTATAAATTAATGCAGATTGACGGATCTTAGTTGAAATAAGTATTGGAGATTTTCTATGGTCTAGATATAATAGTCTAGCAATACAATTTCCGCTCCTCACTATACAAGATACCAAAGGATGCTGCAGACCAGTAGGCAGCAGGCAGAGAACAAGCTAGGAACTCTGTAGATCGAGGGGAGTTGGCAAGAAATGAGAGAAGAGAAAGCAAGTCTATCCCTCAAACACATTCTGGTTCAGCTCAACCCCTAAATCCTTGGCCATATTCTGCATCTGAGCCTCGATATCGTCCTCCATACCACCGCCCAGTCTCAAAAACTGGCGAATCTTGGTAAACCAGAAGAAGATGTCAGTGGTGAATAGCACAAGGCGGAAGACGATATGACGACCGAGATTGCGGATCTTCTCGTTCAGAGGCAGATCAGGCGATTCCACCAGCGCCCGCGAGGCCCACATCCCGGTGATCTTGACGCGGTTGACCGGCGAGCCCAGAAACTGGTTGTTCGCCTGGACGATGCGCAGGTTGCGGCCGATGAAGATCAGTTCGCGCGGCCACTTGGTTTCATCGCCGAGAATCTCGCGGATGGCCTTGCGTGCGGCCTGCTGCATCTCATAGTGGCGCTCGTTGCGCTCGGATTTGCTCAGGCCTTCGAGGCCGCGGTGTGTTGATAGGTCGCCGCCACGGTACGGGCGCATCAGGGTTGCAGAAGCAAAAATATCGGGGTTGTTAACGCCCCAGCCTTTCACGATCTCGCCGATCGTGTTATTGTCGAATGTCAGCAGCGCCTTCCAGAACCGCGCATACTGGTGCCGAAAGTCCGGCTCCATGTGAATGTACAGCCCATGGTCGATCAGGACGAGCTCCGGCTGGCCAGACGGCTTGCGCCGAATAAAGATGTTGCCCGGGTGCGGGTCGCAATGCACCCATCCCCATAGGAACATCTGTGCGGAGAACAAATCCACCATGGTCGTCATCACCTCCTTCAGCGACAATCCCAGGCCGCCTCTCTTATTGTATCCTTTCCAGTGATCCCGCTCTGGTTTAAGCAGTGCAGCCTGCTGGTTTCGTTCTGTCACCGCTGTGTCATTGCTGTTGGGTGCGTCCAGCGGCGTCCCTTGACATCCCGGGCTTCCCTGGCGCCAGCCGCCGCGCCAGGATCGAGTGATGGCATCCTTGTCCCAAAGCCGTACGCCCTCCACCCATTCTGCGGTCATGACGCGCCTCGAGCTCAGCTCGCGGTACACCCGCGGGATGTATACCCGATCCCGCAGGCGCGATTCGCCAGCAACCAGCCGGGCCATGGTCTCTGAATTGTCGGCTTCATTCAGAAAATCCGTCTCCAGCGAGAGACGCTCGCTGATGTATGGTACCAGGCTGTAGAAGGGAATATCGAAAACTTTGCTGTAGATCCAGGTCACGACTCTAGAATTCCTCTATTTAGTATGTGGTTGTTTGTCACTCCAACTTGTTCTAACTCACTTGAAAGCCCACAGATCCCATGCCAGCTGCTGGGCAATCTCCCGCTTCTGGATTTTAATGGCCACCTCTCGACCATCCTGCAAGCGAGCCCAATGCACCTGGGCGACACTGGCGCTGGCGCGGGCCCTGCGTTCCATGACACCCTTACCAGGTTCACCGGTGAAGGAAACCCCAAAGGCTTCCTCGGGTGATTTCCCAAAGTCCTCGCGAATGACCTTCTCCACCTCCTTCCAATCGTTCTGCGGGGCGTCGTCGAACATGCGCGAGAACATCTGCTGGAACTCCGGCGGCAGGATGGCGGACTGCATCGCGATCGCCTGGCCCATCTTCAGGTATAACCCCCCATTATGGCGCAGCAGATCCGAGAGGCGCTCGGCGTTACGCTGATGCACGGCGGCGATGGAGCTGGCCAGCGGAGGATGTGGGCGGAAGTTGATCTTGTAGTCCAGCGCGACCAGCAGACCCAAGGAGAAGGTGCGGGTTGTGCGCGTCAGCGACGAGGCATAGAACTGGGTGTCAATCCCCCAAACAACGCCTGTCGCGAGTGATGCGTACACCAATCGCCGCAGCCATTTGCGGGTGCGGGTGTAGGACTTGGCCGCGGTGGGTTTGCCTAGGGAGCTTGGGGATGGCGGAACGAAGGGCTGGAACCGGCCGGGGTGAACATGGCGAAGGGGTGAATGTCCGATCGAAATGCGAGGCAGGAGAGAGGGAGGGCGAGGCCGTAGGCAGTGCAACGACGCCATCGCAGGAGGTGAAGAGGGAAAGTGACGTTTCCGATCGGCAGGCTGACGGAATAATGGCCGTTGAACCTTACTGTTTATAATCGTACAAATTATATTTACACAGTAACATATATGTACTGAATTCTATATATACATGGTATCTCACAATTCATCGTGGCTCTCCGCCTCCGGTTTCTCCAACTGGTCGCATACGCTGGCGTAGTCGCGCATGTTGTTGGGGATGATGCGCTCCCACAGGTCGTCGCCTTCGAGATAGCTGTACTGTTGCTTGCACGCCTCCTCGGAGGCCATGGGCAAAAGGATCGGAAGGTGTTTGATCGCTGCCTTGACAAAGTTGCTCTTGAAGCAGTTGCCAAAGTCCGCCAGGGTGTCCGGGTCGGAGCAGATGTGGCGTCCATGTAGCTCGGGTCCGCACCGATCCTTGATGATAACCGCAACGTCGTCGCCCATCTTCAGCAGGGCTTCTTCCTGGTGTGGTACATTCATGCGACTCATTAGGGCGCGCACTGCAGGCACGAACGAGTTATTGCGTGTCCATAGGTCCCAGTGCGGCACGGTCGGCTGGCACCCGCGCTCGCAAATCTCGGTCTGGAACTTGTTGTACAGGTCGCCAGGGCGGCCGGCCAGCTTGCTGACAACTCGGAGACATGTCCAGGCGACTGCAGAGACCGGAAGGAGGAGGTAGAGGAGGGCAAGGAGGGTGGTGAGGATGCGCATGGTGGGCAGTGGTGAGTGAATTAGTTTGGAATGTGGAGAGGAAAAAGATGGAAATCGAGGGGGAAGCGGAGATCGGAATGGTTGGCTTCCGATCTGGAGGCATAATTATAGATTTGACGGCAATTTCCGAACGACCTATTTAAACAAGGGATTATTCGAGTGTAGAGGATGAGATGCAGTAAAGGCGATATTTTACATTTCAAGATTTCCCCTACTACAGGTCTCGTCTAGTGACGACTGGTTGATTCCTTGGCTACATTACTTTCCCATGAGCATGGATCTTCTGGACTTCCCCGAAACCGTGCGATACCTGACTCAAGAGGATGAAGGACGCGCCCTTGGCAAGACGGTTGCGGGAAATAGTCGAGAGTGGTCGCGTAAGATTCTTCGCGAGCAAGACGCCAAGCTCTTCTTTTGGCGATTTGATGCTGGAGTATGGAAGACTAATGGGTGATGATCGACATCATTCGAAGTGCAATAATTGTAGCATTTCTTATGGTTGTCCATAGACACATTATTCGTCCACAAATGAATGTACAACAGTCCGATAAATCTAGCCACCTAGGATAGTGCGTATGAGTTGATGAAGCTAGTAGAGAGATTGGGGGGATTGACTTCCGATATGCATCATAATTCAGTCTAAATTTGACAGTCATCATTCTATGGAATGGAGTATGTCTCACGTCACCTGCGGGGTCAAATATCTCCTCCCGTCAGCAACCATGTCACTCACCGAAGTGGACGCCCTCGAGGCCACCGTCATCATAGACAATGAACTGGACCCCTTATCTCCAGCGGCTCCAGATACCGTCACGGTCGGCGGCCACATGGGAACCGTCGCCATGGGATCGATGCATAACTTAACCGACCGCGGCAACGCCATCAAGGAGTTGAGGATGGGCGATATCTGCTGTGCAGCCCATGGGCTGTCGATTTTGGTGGTCAGTAGATCATCTCATCTTCTATATTAAAGCACCCTTGAATTTGACCGTTGTTTAGACGGCCACCAAAGGTGACAAGAAGCACTCGGTTCTCTTCGATGTCGGACCAGAAGAAGACGCATGGGAGAGAAACGTCAAACGCCTGCGTCCGGATCTGTCTTCCATAGAACTCATCCAGCTATCGCACTGGCATCGAGATCACTCCGGTTCGGTCCCTTTGTCCTGTTTACGGACCATTCTGATGAATCCATAGGCGGCCTCCTACGAGCTATCCGCATGATTAAGGAGGCAAAGGAAGCCAAGGGACAGTCTGATAACCTAGTCGTTGACGTCCATCCAGCTCGACCAGAGTACCGCGGGCTTGCTATACCTGCCCTGCCAGACAATGTCATCTCTTTAGAAGCAGACCCAACCTTTGACGAGATGCAGGCCGCTGGAGCGGTGGTCCACAAACGCAGCGACTCTCACACGGTTCTGGATGACTTCTTCCTCATCTCTGGAGAAATCCCGCGTGTGACGGCGTATGAAACGGGTCTGAAGGGCGGGATGCGTTTCGATCCCGAAGACAAGGAATGGTTCTCAGATGAGATCATTGCCGACGAACGTTTCCTCATGTGCAACCTCAAAGGTGAGTGGGTGTCCACATCTCTCAGCAGGAGATGCTGACCATCTTCTTCTTCAGGGAAAGGGCTCGTCGTATTCACGGGCTGCAGCCATGCCGGGGTGGTCAATACAGCCAGACACGCACTGGACACTGCCGAAAAACCAACACTTCTTCACGCCGTCGTAGGTGGCTTCCATCTGGCAATGAGCGACCAGCCCCAGATCCAGAGCACGGTAGCAGACCTGAAGCGTCTTGATCCCGCCGTGCTAATGCCGGGCCACTGCTCTGGCTGGCGGTCCAAGTTTGCCATTGAAAAGGCGATGCCGGGGAGTTTGGTGCCGTGTACGGTGGGCATTAAGATTGGCTTCTAATCTAGATCTATGATCGGATAGTATCCACGTGGGTATTGATTGCTGTTGAATCTCGATACAGCATTCCTTGGGTTGCTGTTGGCAACCCGGCCACCTCGTCAAGGGATACATGCCTCCATAATCGGATCTCTGCTTGCATTATTGCGGTGGGCTGTTTCACTATCTTGGTCATTTGATCCCCAAATCAGCTCCCTTGCTGCAGGCACATGAGTTTGGTGTCATTATTGTGGACTTGGCAAGTATTGAAGCGGGTCACTAGATTTTGCCTCTTAGGCCAATCCGGCATAGATGTAGAAAGCAGTGACTTGGAAATCGATATTACTGCACTCATTACAGAATTTCTGCCCTAGAATATTTCCAGGTGACTATTGTGACTGTGTTTTATCCTATCTAATTCCGCTTTGCCCTCCTCTTCTTCTCAGTTTCTGCGGCCAATTGCCTTGTAAAGCTACGACTATCGTAGACCACTCCGCTTCTACAAAGAAGGCGAAGGAGTAAGTGCCTAGCTCAGAGTATTATCGCCAGCGCCGTTTGCGATTAAGGAAAGGCATGGTCTGCTCAAACATTAGTCACTGCTGAGGAGATGAACCAGTGTGAAATGACTTGTTCCCGTGTATCATGCATGGTCTCAAGAGTTCGTGCTGGTTGGTCACTGCATTGGTCCGACGGGGCCTTCTATAATCAACTACAATAGGTAAAAGCTTGAATTAGTACCCTAGAAACAATGGTACCTCGTCGGCGTGTTTGGGATTCCAATCCTGCATCCTTTAGAGAAGGATGTAACCTGGTTGATTACAATAAATGCTTCTGGACCGCCCCACGACCCCTGTCCTCTCCTTCAACTTCTATGTCTTTGGTCAAATTGGGTCCAAGTCGGTGGATAGAGTGGAATTTCCTAGAACCTAAGTCAATATCTCCACAGCACTGCAAAACCTGGAGGTGAATGACCTCATTACTCTTGATGGCTCCCCCGTCTATTAGCTTGCAAGCCAGTGGAGAACAGATGAGAAGAAAATAGATATCTGAGAGAAGTTTTCTACTCGAGTCAGCGCTCTATTCTCGAACTGTTGTTCCTAACAGAAACCGTCTTGTTTTTATTTCAGTGTAGCCTGGTAGGGTCACTCTGGCGCCAACTCGAGTTGGGTGGCAACTAAGTAACTACTAGGACCACCATCCATAAGGGAAGTCCACCTACAACGAGAGTGGGTCTTAGCGTGTTCTGGTACCTTCGACTGATACCAGCCCCAATATTGATGGGGCGAAGATAACAAGGGCCAGGGGCCAGCGGTTTCAGTCTCTTCCTGTAGCAAACAGGATGCCCAGCATGACTACGTGTTGGTAATCAAGCTTTGATCACCTTGACGAACATCGCCTCTCTTCTAGGCTTATGGCAAAAGTCAGGCGCTCAAGCGACCAATTTCCGATCAGCTGGGGGCATACTTTCGTCGTGTCAATATCATGTACGACGTATACGCGGATTTCTATCCTGGTTCTGCCCTCTGTATCCTGTCCATTGTGCTCCCCTGAGATTTTCCTGAGAGAATTTCGTTTGAAGGATTATTGTGCTGACCCGATGTTCTACATTCAGGAACAGTTCAAACTATCTGGGTTAAGCGTCCGCCCCTTGGCGCAGATTGACGCTGATCTGGGGCCGAGTGTTTTCGAAGTCATACCCTCTACGGAGTACTCCGTAATAGTTTTCAAAATCCTTCACGGTTGGAAGGAGTCGAGGGATCTCGCAGCCACGTCTATAAATGTAAATACGCCCGCCCGCCTGCACGGGTTGGCCTGGGTTTCATCCAGCAATAATCCATTTTCTTCTTATGTGTCGTGTTCAATTTCCTCTGGTAGGCCTGAACACAGCAACACAGTATTTACACCAGTAAAAGTCTTGTACCTCGATTCTCCAAAAGCCTTTTTATCATTACTCATTCTTCCTTATCCTTCTCACAATGAGGTACGCCGGCATCGCTGCCGTCGGGATTTTGGGCTCTGCGATGGCCCTGCCCGCCCAACCAGGCACTGGTGATCGCACTGGCGATATCAGACCTGGCGGCCCTGAGGAGTCACCCGGCTTCATGAGAGGCCCGAACTGGGGCTCGCCACCACAACCCACCTCCGTTGGTATTCCGAATGCTGCTGCAGGTGCTGCTGCCAATAACGTTGCCGGTCATGCTGGTGCAACTCACGCTCCAGGTTGGTCTCCATCTCGCCCTGGAGACGCCATAGGCGTCGAAGCCAGCAGCTTTGTCGACCGAGTCGCTAGCAAGGTCGGCAGCTTCATCAACAAGCACTGGCCTAATCTGAAGGAGGAAGAATTGAAAAAGGTCGAAGCTGTCGTGCTCGAAAATTTCGCTCCTTCCTCCACCCGTCTGCCCTCATCGTGGGGTTCCAGTGGCCTCCCATCTACCCACCCCAGCACACCCACCGCAAGCCAGATTTGGATTGAGAAGAAACCGGGAGAGAAGGAAGGGGACGAAGAGAAAGGGCAAGTGGAACCACAGAGCCGGGGTAACACCCCGGCTACTATTAATGGCGTTACGGTTACGTTTACGGCTACGCCTTGGACCAAGCCTACTGAAACTTCTAATCAAGACCGCCCCGGTCGTCATGGTGGTTCCAGAGATGAGCAAGGTGATGTTTCTGATGATGGTCCTCATGGTGGCTCCCATGATGGTCACGGTGATGGCCCTGGTGATGGTCCTCATGGTGGCTCCCACGATGGTCACGGTGATGGCCCTGGTGATGGTCCTCATGGTGGCTCCCACGATGGTCACGGTGATGGCCCTGGTGGAGGTCCTCACGGTGGCTCCGGCCGCGGCCCTCATGGCGGTGGTGGAGACAAGCCGACATCGACACGCTCTACTGTCTCGCCGTCCTCTAGCTCCGTTCCGATGTTGAACCATGAGGCTCCTGCGTCCGGTGGTGAGAGACCTGACATTCCAACGCAGTAAAAGTACAACTCTACTCCTCCGAGTGTTTTGAACTCGCATAGCGTCGGCACACTGTTTCATAGCGTTGACCGTCTTGACCCTTCAGCGATAGCTCGATTTCAGAAATCGAGTTCGTTTTAAACGTCGATCAATGTTTGCCAGGCTGCTAGACTATTCAACGAAGTCTTCTAACGAATTTGGTGTATAACTTTCAATTATTTTTCTAGAATGTACCAATGAAACATTTTATTAACAACTTTTTTGAAGAGTCTAGTGTTCAGTATGCAGTTACTTAGATTCACGCTGTTTTTAAGTGGGAGGAATGCCAGCCAGAGTGCGGTCCCCGACTGGACCAACGGCGAAGTTCTCCAACTTCGTCATGTCTGGATCATTATATAGTAGTATCGCGCACTGCCAGGCCGCAGTTCTGACATTAAGCAACTTGATAAAATCCACCTCTCCTCATTTGGCAAGTACCTTGAAATTTAGTCTATCTTTCTCCAGCCACTCTCGTTCTTCCGCGACCTAAAGTTGAAAATATTTGTTAGGATCAGGTCTGAGAACTAAAAAAGCAGCATAGTAAAAGTCTTAATAAACGCTTTCCTCGTGCTTTTTCTCTGCTGTTCTTCGTAAGTATGGACGAGCAATGGGCGGATTGCAAATATATATCTAGTGTCCTCTCCCTGACACGTAAACCCGTCAACCATCCAGAGAAAACTACTGGCATTGTTCGATATATATATCCACCACTTACCAGGACTAAAGTCCGAATTCAATCCTTCACGCAGTATAGTTCGTGCTCTATATGCCACTGCCACTACTAATAAACCGGGCATACCCTTCCAGAAACATCGCTATGCCCACGTCCACCACCGTAACGAAGCACCGGCAAACATACCGTGTTACCAACCATTCCTTCCTACACCTGCAACATCACAGCCAAGACCCCTATCTCCCGTCCAGCTTCCGCCAAGAAGGAAAATCAAATAAACAAACACCCTTGCTCTCCACTCCTTTCCTCTCCGCCCGCCGCTGCTTTCACGACGATCACGATCGTCTGCCGCATACTTGCAGTGGCCCCCATGGTTGTCCGGTCCGACAAAAGGGGGCGCGCCTGACGTACACGACTTCTTGTACTTCCGCCAAGACGATAATGCGGGCGAGAGGGATGCATGGGGCATCTTGGCAGTTTAGAAGCAACGGCGGAAGTGAAGTGGACCATCTCAGATGATCAAGGGGTGTTTAGACTTTTGGTTTTGTTCTTGGTTTTGGGCTCTGGAGTCTAGCACAGCAACCTACAGTGCGTCTGCTGCGGTTTGCCCCAGAAACTATTGGATTTGCGCCAAGGACTCTCTGATTTGCCCGAAGGGATCCCCGGTAATGCTGGTTACGATCTTAGATATTGGTTCTGAGGTCTAGCTCCTCTGAAGGCATCAATTCCATAGCCCGTCTCCACTTCCAGTACTTGAAAGGATTTCTCCATATGGAGCAGTCTCCACTGGAGAAGGGCACTGCACCCAGGCGAACGGTTTTTGAACACATCATCCATACCGGGCAAGACGGGTGCATACTAAGTTAACGCCCGAAGCCCAGTGGGTCATTCCTCGGCTGTTCTAGAGGTCGATCATGCAGCGAGCTCTGAGTTCGCCACTATAGAGCTGGGCACTGGCAATAGTTAGCTAGCAGGTCGCATGGAGATCGTCAAAATTTCCATGAACTATAATTGCGTATCCCTGTTTAGCTTGGCAGATTTGATTCTGGAGAGACAGCCAAGGAAGATTGCATACGGTTCTGTACGGGGCGAAACCGAGAAGTCGGTGTTAGTCCGGGCATAGCTATGGGGTGTTTGTTTATATGGAGTCTCTGAGCGCAGGAACTGTCGGTGACAACTCCAACAATAGCAACAGCCGACATCAGGGATAATCTCCCGGAACACAAGAAATCAAGAAACGGACAACTGACATCTGACTCCAGCCCGAACTCAAATGACAAATTGTACAGATGTCATCGAACAAAGCCACCAACCAATAACCCCTACCCGTTTACAGACAGACGGACAAACAATAATCAGAAATATGCAAGGATCGGCACTGCCCAGGTGCAGCTATCGGTCTCGGCATACCTGCCTGCGGCAAATAGTCTAATATCCGCACCAGGCAATTCTCTACGTAGGGGTGGATGGACCCAAAAATAATCAGGCCCATGCACCCTGTCTCAGCTCGATCCTTACCCGTTGCGAGCACGGCGCGTGGGGAGGTGGGCAATTGGAGGATTTGGGATTGCAATTATTTGGGGGTCCGTTTTTCTTGCTTGTCTCCTGTCGATCGTTGCGGTTTTGTTTACCGTTCGCGAACGAGGCACGCGTCGGGGTTGATGGACGTGTCTGGCTCCAAACAGGGGGGCCTTGCACTATCATCCTTAGCGGTATACATCGCAGTACCTACTTGTAAGTAAGAACTATGTAAGACTATTCTTTCTTGAGATCTTGTATTTTATCTCGTGTCACTGTCCTTTCTTTCCTAACGGCCCGGGCCATGCCTGTGCGTTCACTAGACACGGTCCTACAGGACGGGGGTGGGCGATGCCAAGAAGTAGGCAAGGCCAATGTCTAAACAGTCATTGGTAGAAACTCGATCATGTTTATTGTGAGTATTGTAGATGCGTGTTCATAGGACCGACATCTGTGTACATCAGCCTGTGGCGAGATCGACACAGGGGTTCGATGCAGCCAAGAGAATGATGAACATATTATAGAGTCCATTGAGCCTCATGAAACTACACTCATCTACATTTCAGCTGTATACACAGTATTCTAGCGCTGCGGTGGTATAGAAACTAAGGCGAGTACTATGACGTCGGCAATCCTTGTCGCCTATAGGAAACGCACTATGATTTTTTTTTCCATTGAAGTCTGAGACCTGCGAGCACATACTGCACATAGAGTGTCCACACAAGAGAAACCATGGTTCCAAAACATGCCACGCGACTGAACCCTTCCACTCTGGCGCATGGTGCCGAACTTGCCGTACGTGTCGGAGATATCGCCGCGGTTTGTGCCCGGCCGACACCTTCCGCCCGAAAGAAGACCTTTTTTTTACGGGCACGCAAGAGATGTGTTCGTGCGCGGGGCGACAAGCCCGACAAGGCTTGCCGAATACATAGAATAGCTCTCGGCCGTGCCGGAGATGATCGTCTGTCGAATTGGGCGATGACGAGAAATGCGGTATTGACGCCCCATACTGCAACAGTCTGGATTCTAGGTTTTTGTGGGATGGCGATGACGACAATTTTTTTTTTTGTTTCTTACCGTTTCAAGGTTTAGGGTGCCGGGCACATAATTTTTTTTTACGATAGTTGTACACAAATAACCTTGAATAAGATTGGCTCGTTTGAAACCTTCTTCGGCTGGCGGCACTCACGGTTAAAGCGGGATGAGATAACTAACACGTAGTTCCTGAGGATAGGCGCACAACACTGCAAGCGTTATTTTTTTTGTGTCCATTGCTTACTTCCCTTGCAGGCGGGAAGTTCGGACAGCTCGGACACGGACGAATTTCTTGCGCGAGTGCGCAGCTAAACTTCCGTCGGACATGCGGTGAGCTTTTTTTTGGCCCGACTCTTTCCATTTTCTCCATGGGCAATTCTCCAGAGCATGTACGTAACTACAAATCCGATCCTGGGGAATGAGTTTTAAGAATAGAGCCGGGACTCCTTGGCGAACCGGGCGTTAGGGTTCGGGCGCCTGCATAGAATTATCCCATCCACCGTCCCTCGTGCACTATTTTTTTGGTAGCAAGTACGGCACGACTTTCTGTATCAGGCCCGCGGGGCAACGCGGGAGGAGATTGAGCTGAGCGGTGACCGTTTTTTGTTATTCAATCGATTGATTGATACGATGGCGTCTGCAAGGAAAAACCTAGGGGCAAAAAATGCCTCACGATCTACGCCCAAGCTCCGGGTAAAAAGGACGGCGCACGCCGGACATCGGGGCGGACAACCATCAAGCAGCGATTTGGCAGGCGGGCGATCGGCCCCCGGTGGAGACCGATGGTTTCTTCGTGCGGTCCACACCGGTGAGTGATTGATTCAGACGAGTGGTGGAATTAAATTGGGGTTTCCCCATCCCACAAACTACTGTAAGGCACACGGCGGCTCTGCCAAGTCGACCAACAATGCCAGCGGAGAGAATGGCCGTGGGATGCAGTGGATAATATTTCCTGGGCATGCATCATAACTATGCCGTGTATAAAAATGTGAGGTATGGATGGGAGGAATGCTGCTCCAGCGGTAAATTCTTCCTAAATTGCCCGCGTAGGGCGGCACACACACTCTGCCTTGAACCCAATTGATGGGGCATTATTGGTGGATGCCGTCCAGCCCTAACCGAAATGGGCAGTTCGGGCCTAGCTTTTCAAGTTTAGTCTCACCGCGCGCGAAACGAAAACGACACGATAAGAAAACGCCATGACGCGATAGTTTCACTCTTATCGGTTTTAGAAGTTATCAAGTGCCGATTTTCCGGGCGGTGGAAGGGCAGGACTCCCAAAGAATGAAAAGGCCGAGAGACCGACCGAGAGCCTACCGTACCGGGCGAGAAGATTTTTTTACCAATTAGGCGCGACACTTTCCATGGGTGTGGACGCGGAAGGGAAGGCTTCTAGAAGGCGTCGAGAACCACCCGGATTCGGGTTGGGGCGACGCACTCTGCGAGTTGGGCCCACCGCGGGAAAATTTCGATTTCCTGATTATTCCCGTGTCAGCGGCGGATCGGGTGCCGGTGAGTGCTGGTTATGTATGTAAATAACAACGACGATGTATTGGGGCACCCATCTTTTGGATTGTCTGTATTATTGTCGGCGCGCTCGGAGTTGTAGACAGACAAGATTTTTTCTTTCAGCACGACAGTGGCGTTGGATCTTCTTCTTCTGCTTCACCGCTGACGGGGTGGCACACCCTCGGAGCCAGCGACAGACAGCCCAGGGATCGTTGGTGCATCATGCAAGAAAAAAAAAAGTGACCCG